ATTAAAATTCATATGTCAAAGGTCAGTCTATGACAGAAAAAAATTATAAACACCAAATGATGTTAACACTTAGCAGACTGCTGATGATTTACTAATTTTTATTGAACTTAATTAGTGTTTTTCAATAAGTTGATGGTGATCTAACTTAGAAAGAATATGATATAGAAGAACTTGTTTTGACACAAGATGAATTAGAACAGCAACGACTAATTGACAGACTCGAACAATCGCAAGACGAAGAACAACAACGGCAACGAGAGGATATGGAACAATGGGAACGAGAAGAATTCAATGTTTTGCAGAGGCTTTTCATGGTACAACAAGACACACATGAAGAACTACGACAAGTAGATACGACGACAGAAATACAGTCGCAGACGTCACAGACCGCGAAGTCGATTGACCAATCGGAGCAGCCGAGTTTACCTGCCTATCAAACACATCCTACTCCACCGTCCGAAACTCTCGAATAGATTCTACTGTCTCACTGTCGATACCTGTCACAAACAATGAAGCCCGCGACGTATGCTTGTATTAGTCATTCGCGACGATGAGATTAATCGGTCATGTTCATGAAGATTCCTACGACTCCATACATGATGAGCCGAACGTTTTGAGTAGCGTTCTCTGGAACGAGATGAATATTATCGCACATTTTCATTTCTCTACATACTCTCTAGTCTAAATTGAACTACAAGTAACGCTTGTCGCTGCGACTCGCTTCACCCTCGACTGATCGTTTGTGTGTCTAAATAGTAGTTCGTCTGGCGAACACACCTATTGATATCAAAAGTACGCCCGCATATTTTTTTGAATTTTAATTCAAATGATCTATGATGATAGTCAGCTTTCAGTTGTTAGTTTTTATACATTCAATTATCTCTACTATCTAAATATTACAATATAAATAGTTTTAAAAGTTCATGTTGCAAAGTCTTTGTTTATGTACCGTAACAGTGAACACTATATCTGTAGTTTTATCTGATGAATGTTACGAAACTAGATAGATCTAGGGAGAAAAAGCGAATCCTAGGATCCACTAGAATCCACCAGGATCCATCAGCATCCAGGGATCCAGGATCCGCTTTTTCCCCCTAGTATTTCCCTCAAGAACCAAAACTAGCAAATGATATTTTTGATTAAGCATATTGAATCCTTTCATGAAAAATGATCTCTATGAAGACCTTTACCATTCAAGATATGATAGAAGGTTTTATTTATTCGGATATGATCGAAAGAAATAAGAATGAGCTGAACTACGATACCTGAATGCATCGATAAATATAACAGAACATTCCATTGCATTATTATGAATAATTGTTAGCACGACAACTGCAGCATGATATAAGAGTTCAACATTTGACCTTATTGAAAATTCTAGTAAAAACGTAGTTACCAGCTAGCTGAGACTGCGATTTGACTTCCGCCAGAAACTTATTCGATACCCACTAGAAAAGCTCGTGTTCGATATATGCAAATTAGGTTTCGTCACTAACTATTCGTTGTAACATCCATTTGTCTATCTTCCTGGAAAATTCACATAAACTGAAGATTCTTGAAAAAAAGTTCTGCTGGAGTTTTCTGAAAACACGTGGTGTTTCATAAAAAGTAAGTCTAAAGTATTCTTTATTTAGCCTCACGGACCAGCGACCAGTCGTTGGCCGGCCCCCCTCATGGGGCGCCACTCACGACTGATCGCTTCCACAACTCAGTGCAGCACTAGTAGAGAAAACAACCGATATAATTAAATCTCGATTTTGAAAACAATACATCCAAAACCACAAAACTATTTTCTTTCATACAACTCTACCTTCACATCAAACACATCACTATGTTGTTAAAAAGATCCCTTTTACTGACGATAACATGGTTTTGGAAGTTTTCTAAAATCTGATCATGCCATTCGGTTCCCCATCCTCGAGAACCTTTGGTCAAACTTACTTTTAATCGTTTAGTGTTATTATCTTTTTTCCATGTTTTTTTAACCCTTGACCTTTGATTCTGCCACAAACACACAAACCTTTTAATTTTTCCGTATCATCCTCCCTTCAGTCGAGGGAATAATAAGTTTGTTGGTTAACCAATCTCTTAAATAATCGCCTGTATAATCACCAGATCATTCGACAAAGTATTTCGTATACTTTTGGTGAGTAATCCTCATTCAGATAACAACTGTCTTCGTCTACGTATTCGTTTCACATAGGTATGAAAGAAATATGAACACGCCTCCTTTATGCACACTATAGTTCTGTAGATAATGTTATTGAATATATAAGATTGTCTACTGTAAACAGAAAATAGAAAAGAAATGTTAAAGTTTTTTAGACCATTTGAAACTGGCTACATGGATATGCAAAAAAAGAATGTGATAGTCTCACATCTAGAATGTATGCATCAAAATAATCTTTTTTTTTCGGAAGAAATGAGCCACGAACAACTTTATGTCTTGCGATAAATATGTTGTTGTTGTTCTCGTGGTCTTGGAATATTGGCTACAACACTGTCATTGTGTAAGAACAGGTCGTGCTGTTTGTG